GTGATACTAACACGTGGTAATTCCACGCGTGGTAATCCCACGTATCCCATGCATGGTAATACTAACGCGTGGTGACTCCACGCGTGGTAATCCCACGCATGGTAATATTAACGCGTGGTGACTCTACGCGTGGTGATACTAACGCGTGGTGATACTAACGCGTGGTGACTCCACGCGTGGTAATTCCACGCATAGTAATTCCAACGCGTGGTGACTCTACGCGTGGTGATACTAACGCGTGGTAATTGTACGCGTGGTGATACTAACACGTGGTAATTCCACGCGTGGTAATACTAACGCGTGGTAATCCTACGCGTGAATATATACGTGGTATATATTTCCTTGAAATATATATAATGTCCTGATTTTTAAATACTTAATTATTTAGAAGACCCCCCTACAGAGTCGAAGAAATTAAGACTCGACTGAGATCAATCAGTTGTAAACCTGATAAAAAGTTATAGATTCTTTACAGTGAAACAACTAGAGAATATTCCATATTCACGATAATTCGAAAGCTTGATACCAGCGAACGAGAGAATAGTAACATTCGAAGTTTTATCACTCGATTGACTTAACGTCCCTCCGTATCTCCCTGTTTTCTTCCCGCTATCGTGTCCGTAAAAGAAAAAGAGACGTCCGTTAATTTAATCCGTTTCCTCGTATCGACCACGATGAAGACTTCTCCGTTTATCTGGAATAATTTGTTCCATTATCGGCTCGTACTTGAATCGAAAGTGGAAACAGCGAGAAGAATGTGTTCGCTTTGAACGAATGTAGGCGGACAGATTGATCGATGGTTCTTTAATCCCCACGCATAGTAATACTAACGCGTGGTGACTCTACGCGTGGTGATACTAACGCGTGGTAATTGTACGCGTGGTGATACTAACACGTGGTAATTCCACGCGTGGTAATCCCACGTATGGTAATACTAACGCGTGGTGACTCTACGCGTGGTAATTCTACTCGTGGTAATACTAACGCGTGGTAATTCCACACATGATAATTCTACTCGTGGTGATACTAACGCGTGGTAATTGTACGCGTGGTGATACTAACGCTTGGCAATCCTACGCGTGGTAATACTAACGCGTGGTAATCCTACGCGTGAATATATACGTGGTATATATTTCCTTGAAATATATATAATGTCCTGATTTTTAAATACTTAATTATTTAGAAGACCCCCCTACAGAGTCGAAGAAATTAAGACTCGACTGAGATCAATCAGTTGTAAACCTGATAAAAAGTTATAGATTCTTTACAGTGAAACAACTAGAGAATATTCCATATTCACGATAATTCGAAAGCTTGATACCAGCGAACGAGAGAATAGTAACATTCGAAGTTTTATCACTCGATTGACTTAACGTCCCTCCGTATCTCCCTGTTTTCTTCCCGCTATCGTGTCCGTAAAAGAAAAAGAGACGTCCGTTAATTTAATCCGTTTCCTCGTATCGACCACGATGAAGACTTCTCCGTTTATCTGGAATAATTTGTTCCATTATCGGCTCGTACTTGAATCGAAAGTGGAAACAGCGAGAAGAATGTGTTCGCTTTGAACGAATGTAGGCGGACAGATTGATCGATGGTTCTTTAATCGCTATTGTTAACGTTCACGGCCGTTGCAAATCGGATCAGCCATGTGAGATGGGTCTCGCGGTTGAACGAACGAGCATCTTTTTTCTTCGCTTTACGCACATACTTAATTGTAGAATCGTTTGGAACCCCTCGACACCGATCCGAAAATCGTCCCATTGTTTCGCGGCTAACTGTGATTAATTATTTCTTAAATGTGCCAAAAACGCGCAACATTTTAACAAGCAACATTTCCACGGAGGACATATATTATCCTCTAGGAAGAATCCCATGCCGTATGCGAGCCGAGATCGATGATATCATTGTTCATTCTTAATAGATGCTCAAGTTTCACGGTCGTTGGTTGCAAAAACGTCAGAAAAACGACGATTCAGGGTTTAATCACAGGGATCGCTTTTGATACGTATTACCGGTTTCTTGTGGAACCGTTTCTCCGCCTGAAGAAGCTAATTTCCTTCGCTGCTTACAGGCGATCCTTGTCTTAACAATGACACCGAGCTACCTATGATACACACGCGGTTTACCGGTGACACAGATTTATTGCTCTGTACATATTTGCCCTTGTTTCGACGGCCCTCTCCCACAGATTCCGGAAACGTTCTCTCGAATTTCAAGCTTTGTGATTACCCTTTGGCACACGCTTAGCTTTTTCTTCTATAAGACTTGGTGAATTCATAATAAAATAAAGATCACAAGTTTTTTATTACAATGTAAACTTCAGTCGTTGTCCATTTACCGATAAGTATATTATTCGACAGCAAGGTAAGTTAATTCGAAGTAAGTCAATTTTATCGTTCAACTAAAATTATTGGTAGATTGTAACATCCACAACGTGACATCCACCAAATGAAGACGAAATGGCGCCGCAGAAAATTGTGATTACCCTTTGACACACGCTTAGCTTCTCCTTCTATAAGACTTGGTGAATTCATAATAAAATAAAGATCGCGAGTTTTTTATTACAATGTAAACTTCAGTCGTTGTCCATTTACCGAGAAGTATATTATTCGACAACAAGGTAAGTTAATTCGAAGTAAGTCAATTTTATCGTTCAACTAAAATTATTGGTAGATTGTAACATCCACAACGTGACATCCACCAAATGAAGACGAAACGGCGCCGTAGAAAATTGAAAACTTGATATGCATTTTACATAGAGTGTCCCCTATCGAAGCTTGCACGACCCCTTTCGAAGCACACGCGGTCAATACAGCCGGCGCATACGTAATCAAAACGGTCCGGTCCAATTGTTAAGAACGATAAGAGAACACGAAGAGTGTAGCGGCTCCGGTTGTTCAACGAGAAAGAAGAAAATCGAAATAGATCAGCGCACGCCCACGCGGCGATGTCCCTTAGCGGCGTTCGAGCGCGATAAAACGGGGAAACGGTTCGCGGGTTTCACGAGGTGTTCCAGCCAGACGAGGACAGATAACGAGATACAGGAGGAGAAGAAGAGGGTGGCAAGCCGTATTTATCACTGGTGGATCCCGAAGAGCGCACAATGCGAGGCGAAAGAGCCGGCACGGGAACGAGACGCGATGTAGTGCAGGTAGATTTATGGAAGGTGGGAGGGAAGACGGATCGAAAGAGAGACGAAGAAAGGGAATGTGTTTGTGTCGCAGGTCAGCCGCGGTTCACGGTCACGGGGACCAACCGCTGGACTAACCTAACGTAACCTGACTCGGCGACCGCAAACTGAATTGCACCCCGTCTGACCCCTCGACAGCCCTCCCGTTCCTGACCGCCTACTGGCTCCTTTCTTTCAGACCGCTCTCCCCTCCTGGACTACAATTAGACGGGAATGATACCCTATCTCCGAGTAAAACCCCCAAGAATATATTTATCGAGATAATTTTTTATCTACAATTCCACTATTGATCCTACACTACTTCACCTCGTGTTTTACAAATATATTTCAGCTTACCGCCAGTCATGCTACTCTGACAAATATCAGGAATGTTACCTTATTTTCCTGTTTTTAAATCTTACTTAACTGTTCAGTAGTTACCTATTTGCGGAAGCTTGTAGATCAGTGTCTCAACAGAGCTAATAAATAATGTTCAGCTTTTTAAAAATAGCACATTACATTCTGACTTAATCTATTCAATTTATACATGTTTATACATGGATATAACTTTTTGCTCGGATCGTTTGCATAACCGGTGGATCTTTCAGCGTACCGAAGTAATCCAACCCGACACGTCGTAAATTGTGCAGCACCCCTCCTATACGAAATTTATTAACAGGGTGTGCCTGTGGATACACAGACCAGTCGGTCATCGGGGTGGCTCTTTTCCTTGATTGATTAAGCACGCCTAGGCATAGCATATCGACACCGTGTTCAACGTGAGCGACCAACCCGTTCAACGGGAAAATTGAATAACAGGATCTATCGATAAATTAGACCCCCCGTTATATTCGTCGACGTTTAATTGACTCGCATTAATTACGTAGCCGGCGTGAGAAGAAAAGAAACGACCTGGTTAAACCGTGAGTCAACGGTCGATTCAATTTGACGATGAGAACGGCCCGCGAACGAATTCGACTTCGACGGAAAACCAATGAACCGTGCGTGCATTCGATCGATCATGACACATCGATAGAAATCGACATCGCGACCGGCACGAAACGATATTAAACGGACTGCTACGCGGGCTTGACGCCAATTATCCAATTACCGCGCTCGCATTAGCAGTTGCAGACTGATAATTGCACCGCAGTTATGGATAAGGTTCAATGGAGCGATCTAAGTATGTAAGTTTAGTTGCGATGTAAGTTCTATTTTTATCCACTGCGATAGTTTGAAAAATTGGGACGACTGAACGTTGTAACACAAGCGCTGATCCAACGCGCGATAACGAAGGCAATATCTATTTTTATTTACCAACTTGCAACAAGGTTTATACTAACGATCGTTTAAACAATCAATCACGGTAACTGTAAATGAATAATATTTTGCATATCGTTTAATATTAAAATCTGTTCTAATATTAAAATGTACACGCTATGTAGGGCACGTGTTTCATAAAATTCAACATGGCGGACCGCGCTGTCAAACATGTACAAACACGTCGATAAGAATAATCGAATTTGGTCATCTAAGAATACAGGGAGGAGCTGTTTCGCGCAACTATAGTTTTCCGGTCGGCTCGTTGCATAATCTATTCAATGGCTACCGCAATTACAGCGGCTATTTGACGCGGCTAAGTTCGCCCATAAAGGCCTAACCTTGAGAATTATGATGCGGCTACGTTTATCTATCCCTCGAACACGTCTCGAAGCGGTGGTTTTGCCGCGTTCGAAAGGCGCATTTACATCGCGAACAACCGCACGCCCTCGCGTAAACTAAACTGCATGCATATGGCGCCAAATTACGAACCACGGTGTGCAACACTTACCGGCAGATTCCTGATGCCGAGCCGCACCTTGGAGTATTTCTTCATAAAGACTCGCCAGAGCACGTACGCCATCGCGATTATCCAACTTTTCACTGTGCTTTTCCAACAAATTTCCTGTCACTTTTTTCGCGGCAACCGAAGGTTAACCGTCAGAGTTCACGTTCGTCTGTCCATGCCTCGATCGTTCGATCATCGTTTCTCCGCATCTCGATTCCGAACGCTGCAGTTTCGCGTTTGCAAAAACATCGATATCGATTTACATCACCGTTGTCTCCCGCGCCAATCACCGGGACAAATTGTAGCGGCAAACTTCATACCGTTCCAATAACGGCCGGTCGAATAAATCACCGTTCACTTTGCGTACTTCTTTCGCGTCAGAGCGTTTTCTACGATTTCTCGATTTCACGCTACGATTTGACGCGCACAACACATTTATGGAAAATATACTATGTACGTCACGACGACCGTTAATTCCGGCAAAGCACTCGCGTTCACGAAGGCGCGGAAGATGAATGGAATCTTCAAATTAACACTGGATGATCTTCGAATGGGTGTCTCTTGCGTAATGTCCTGCTTATAATTGCGTCCTGTGCACCTATAACCTATAAATATCGATCTCGAGAATCGACAACGCGGTTCAAAAACGAAGCACAATCACGTGTTAAACTTGACCGTTAAACTCGAACGTTTTTGCAACAAAGATTCGTGTTTCCCCGCTCGCGGAAATGATTCAACCACTAGCGAGAAATGTTGTCAGACCAGAATGCAAGGAAGCGACTGTCATGATTTAATCGACGAGCCGGCAAGAGTCCGTCGTCGATATCCGCATCGATCGAACATCCTTCGTAAACTCGAACGGAGAAACACTCGGCCACTGATACTTTCTCGCAACTGGCGTTCGCACGTCAAAGTACACGAGGATTTTGAAGGAAGGACGCGCGTCGAAACACCCGTGCGCCTGACGGCACTCGCTGCCGAGATATAACTGACACGACACACGCAACTGCCTACTCTCGGCCTCGAACCGTGGAACGATGAAACGGAACGTCCGGAACGCCGGAACTGCGGAACGATGTATACCTGGATCGCGTTTCAGCGCGACTTTAGGCGTGTCTGAACCCCGACGCTGCATTAAATGCGAGCAAAGGGTGTGCTCTCGGGGTCTACGTACCTAAAATCCGCAGTTCGATGAACCTCCACATCTTGATGCTCTTGTTTCCCCGAAATTTATGCGATTTTAACGCCTCGCTGAGGTAAGATTAAATGCTGGAAATAGCGGAACAAATTTAAATTGCTAAAGGACTAGGAAATTGCTTCTATGATCTATATTGCGCTTTGACACGTATGTACCTTGTGTCGAAACATATTCTCGAGTTTCAGATACTTTATGTTGATCTCTATATCCTTATATTTATCTAGATCCCTTTTGTACATCACATATCATTCTACATCCTACACATTTACCTAAAAATTGCCCTCAAAGAAGGTTCGAGACTTTGACTCTAAGTTTGAGCCACTTAATTAGCCTAATCGAAGCAATAAGAATAATCAAACTAATGTGGTGTCCATATCGATCTTCGGATCCGATAGGTGCGCGATAGCAATCCATTTCGTAGAGAATCTGCGGTATATCATAAATAACGTCCTCCGAAGGATATAAGCTTTTGTCACGCTAAATTTCCTAAGCGTATGATCACGATGATGCGTCTCGCGATTACCGATCAATAAACGACTTAATCCTTTTTGTTCTCACTGTAATCACCGCTCGTAATGACTGGGATTAATTTCGTTTTATTTTTTCCCATTAATCTGAAAATAGATTCACCGTGAACAGAAACGTTTTTATGTCGAAGTTGATTTCTTAGCAGACGATCTTTGTCCCCCACCGTGACGTCGTAAACCGATGACGCCAATGAACGGCAAGAAAAGCGAGAAGAAACGGTGAAAAAAAACTAGTCGTTTAATAAGCAATATAACACCGCGATCGTAACGAAGGCAAAGAGTTAAAACGAATCGGCGTGTCTCGCGGAGCAGCCAAAACAAACAAAGTTAAACAAACGGAAGGCTCAATACCCCTGTTACGCGTGCCCCTTGTTTGCATTTATTTGTTTTCACTTCACTGTTCAACTTCCATTTCGCTGCTGCGCGTTACACGACTATATTATCATTCGGACACGTTACATCCGCCACGTTTGATTTACCTAACGATAAAACGTTTTTTGAGGTACTCTCGTTAAACGAAACCTAATTACTGGCGCAATTACAACAAGCAAAAATGCATACGCCTTTCGCAATCGCTATCTCGATTCTCGTTACAGCACTTTTTCCTTACGTTTGACGTTGATTCCGCGACGTTAGAACGCGAACATTTCCTAGCACTAATGATACGTTTCATTAAACAGGATCGTCGATAAATTTTGTGGTGAACAGTTTCGAGATCGATCAGCGATAAAATTTGAAGAGTTTCGTAGAAAACGTAACACGGTAAAATGACTTGATCGGCTATAACAAATTTCTCGTTTAAATTCCAGATACAGTGGTGTAACTCCATAACGATCAATATAACGTACAGTGATCTAAAACTCCTGCTTACGCCAATGAAGATCGACTACCGGCGGATGGAAATAACAAGAAGCAGAAAAACACTCGCGAGACAAACAGCGCATAAAAGATCGTCGAGTGTTTCTGGATGCAACACCGAGTCGAACGACGCCATTATCCCCTGAATGTTTAATACGTGGACGTACTGCCCTCGCGTGTCATGAATTTCCCTTCAAAAACGTGTGCTGTACGTTTGATACGTGAAGGTTCGTCGACAAAAACCTTTTACACCTTAGTCGAAGAAACGTGCCCTAGCAAAGTGGTTTTCTTTCACGATTAGCGCCAGTGTCGCGGCACTTCCGCCGTGTCTCGCGTCGCATCCTATCGCCTTTTACTTCTTCCCCTCTTTAATATTCAGCCACTGTTCTCGTAAGCAACGTTATGCCGCCAACCACACGTACACGCGTGTCTACGTCTGCGTCACATGTACAGTCAATAGCAAATACTTCACTCACCAAAATATGATTACTATGGGGAAACACTTGTTGATTTTTAAGGAGTGGAAAGTTTGGGGACGTAGGAATTTCGATGCATTCGTAGATGTAGAAATTTGGGAATTTGTCAGATTAGACGTTTAGGGAGGTAGGTATTTAGGAATCTTCAGATCTGGAGATTTAGAGATATGGGAATTTTAGAATTTGGCAATTTAGGAATGTAGAGATGTACGAATTGGGAGATTGGGGAGATGGGAACTTGTGAGATTGGGAACTTGGGAGATTGGGAATTTGGGAGATTGGGAATTTG